AGCCCCGATGCCCCGATTTTGCCTGCTCCTCTCTTGCGGCTCCTGGTCTCCATCCAGCGGAAATCGGGCACGCCCAAGTCCCGCTGGAATCATTTGGATTCTGTTGCAGGCGGTTTCCTCCGAGTCTCCCCCCCCCCTGTGCTCTGGGTGGGGAAGAGCCAAGTCAAAAATCAACCTGGGGTCTCAGACTTGCCCCCCCCCCAGATTTCTTCCTTTCCTCGGCCAGGCCCACCGACCGTAAAGGCTCCTTGTTTGGGGGGGGTCACTGCCCTGACCACCCTCCACCCCCGAATTCCTCGATAGATACAAGTGCGATTAATAGCCATGAGAATACTTTAGGTTTTAAGAAGACAAGGAGAAAATGGGAGGGAGGGCAGCTGTTCCTCGGATCAAGGCTCCTGCAGTTCGACCTTTAGCCTTCCAGGCATTCGCCGGGCATGTCTTTGCTTGAAGGCTGCAGATTGAAGTCGAGGTTGCATCCTGCTGGATGGGGAAATTTCAAAAGCAAATAGGTGCGGCCTTGAATCATATCCTCCCCTCCCCCCCACTCTGGGATGGGCTGCTGTTGGCTGCATTTCAGAAGCTGGAAAAATTACTTTTTGGGGGGGGGGAATACAACTTTCAGACTGTTCCCCTCCCCCAAAACCATGCCATCTAGGGCAATCTGGGAGTTGTAGTCCCAAAAAATTTAACTTTGCCATGTTTTACTCTTTCTCCTGGTTACACTGGGACCTTTGCAATTCCATCCCCTCTTAGTTTTACTGCTCTTGGATTATTAAGACTATTATTATTGGCTCATTAATTTCCAAATTTGGAGTCTACTCATGAGGACTAGAAACCTCCTCTCTTCGTTGAAAACCCAGAATCCTGGATTCTGCACCAGCTTTCACTAATGGCCAGGGTGGAGCCTGCAACATCCCTGCAGCCACGTCATTAATGCCCATCTCCTCTTTTTGCTGATCAAAGCTTCTTCTCCAACAAAGAGTTCCCTTTTCTTCATTGCCGTTCTCTCTCTCTCTCTCTCTCTCTCTCTCTCTCTCTCTCGTCCCCACCCAGGACTGTCTTTGCTCTGACTGGCCTGTTTCTATGGCAGTTCCACAGACTTTCCAAGGGCGTGTTTAGCAGAACGGCTGGCCTTGGTTCAGATCTTGTCCGGCTCTCGCTCTCCTTCGCTCCCCCCCCCTGCTTCACGCCCTCCGTGTGTTTTCCCTGCCCCAACGAGCCTGTTTGAATGTGGTTTTCATTCGATTGAGTAAGAGAGGCCTTTCAGAAATCCGTTGGAGGATGGGTGTGCGGTAAACGAAGCTGTTTTTATTTTGGGCCTTGGCACAAGCGCCCCAAGAGGAGTGAGTGGTAAAATGACCCGAACCTTGTCTTAGAAATGAATTTGGTGGCCTGTTTGCCTGCAGAGAACTCTTGGTGGGTGGAGGCCTCCCTGGCCAGGAGCAGTCTATCTCCAGATAGAGTGGAGGATTCGTGCCTCTTTGCCTCAGCATCTGTGTTTCATGTTTGCCCCCCCCTCCCCTCAGTTGGGAAGCCAGATCTCTGACTTGGATGGATGAAGAAGTACTCTAACCCTCTGCGTGTTTACTCAGGAGTAGGTCCATTCAAAAAAGGTTAAGAACCACTGCTCTAACCCTCTGTGTGTTTACTCAAGAGTAGGTCCATTCGTGTAGGTAATCTGAAGCTCTCCAGATGTTGTGGACTCTAGCTCCCATCAGCCCTGATCAATGAGCAGTCCTGGAACATTTGGAAGGCACAAAGTCAGCCGATTTCTCCCCCCCCCACCCCGCTCCGAGATTGTATGATTTCGGGGCTGAAGTCTAGGTGACGCCACAGGCGGCAGAGATGCAAGCGAAGATTGGCAGGCGTACTTTGCACCAGGCAGTGTGTGAACATCGCATGGTGCAGGGTTCAAACCCTGCACAGTTTATTCTGCTTAGAAGGTCAAGACAGACACGATGACCTCTCGCCTCACGGAAGAGAGGAAAGAGAAAAACCTGCTTCGGTGGCGGCCTTCCGGGGGGGGCCACAACAAGTTGGACCGAGCAGGGAAAGCTTCTTCCACCCTCTCTGGGTGCACTCTTGGTGGGAAACAAATCCCACCAGGATCCGCACCCGAGACCCCCCAGGGTATGAAGATGGGACTGAGTCCTCCGTGGTTATTTTAAAGGCAGGGAAGCTGGGCGACGGGGGGGGGGAACGGACCTCCTTGGTGTCCCTTCCAGGTTCTTCAGAGCCCTTCAGACGGAGGTTCACCGAGGGGCAGGCGGTGTGATTCTTAGGGCTTGTCCACCAGGACTAGAGGCCCCTTTGCTGGCCGGGGATGATGGCATTTGTAGTTCCATGCATCTTGAGAGCACCAGGGCAAAGGAGGGGGAGGGCCATTTGCTTGTGAACACACCCAGGAGCACATCACACACCGTTTGCCAGGAGCTGGCTGGCAGCTTTGGGAATTATTGTTCTCTCCCCTCCTAACCTGCGGAATTTGGGAGTTGCCTTCCTTTCTGCCCCTGATTTCCAGGAATGAAGCAGCGCCACTCCTTGAACTCCTCCAAACTCCAACCTTCTCAAATCACCTGGTATTTCATCCAGAGGCTTGACTCCCTCCCTCCCTCAGAAGGGCCACTGGTTTCTCATAGCAACAGGGAAACTTCTTGAGTGGGAAAATGGTGGGGGTGGGGAAATCAACATATTGATTTGTCTTCTTGGCTGTACCGCCTTGCTGTTCACAGCATTTGGTTCTGTAAAGCAACCTTTCAAGGGAATCTTCAAGTTCCTAGTCCTCAAAACTTCTTTTGGCCACCTGTGAGATGTTCATGGAATGATTGATCATGAGCTTCAATGGCGGAATGGAGGATTTGAACTCAGATCTCCTGCGTTTCCGTCCAACACTCTGTGTGTTATTCTACACTGGTTCTCACTGAAGCCAAAGTCTTGCATGAGCCTCAAATGATCAGAAGGAAAAATGACCTCCATCTTTCTGCATAATTTGCCAACTAGGGTCCTTGCTTAGCTTGATCCGGCCGTGCTGGGGGCAGATCCAGGTTCTCTGTGGGTCGCAGTTCAAGGATCCACTCAGACCTGATGCCAAGATGGAGCGGAATAACGACTCTCAACGGGAGGTTTCCTGTTGCAACTCTGAGGGAGTTGCTGCTCACACTTGGTGGGCATCCAATGAAGAGTTGCTGAGAGAGACCGATCCGTGGCACGCATTGAGAGGGGCTCTGTTGGAAAGCAGCTCTTGTGATGAAGGCTCGTGGTGAAGCTTTGTGAACAAAAGAAGAGAATGGGATTTCCATCTTGAGGTTCAGGAGGGCTTCGGAAGGGGTAAAAACTCTGCCTTAGGATCGGTTTCCATATTTTCTGGCCTTTTAGCTTGTGAATTTTCAGTGAGTGGACAGACGGTCACTAAAGGGAGCTGTTTTTCTTGGCTGGGTCATGCCACCCTTCAGCCAGAGGGGGTCTAGATCCTATTTTTGGTTGGATCAGAGATGGAACATGGGTGGGTTTTCTGGACGACAATTCCCGGCACGCCATCGCTAGCGTGGTTTCGTCTCCAGGTCTGAGGCTCAACACGAGTGGGCCAGGGCAGAGTTTTCTTGTTCCGTTTCATACCCCCTCCGTGGCTAATGCCCCTGTGCTCCCAGGACCTTGGCGGGAAATGCGTGTGGCTCTTGTCCTTTCTGGCTTTTCCCCTCTGCTGACGATGGCTTAAATCTTAGGCCTGGAGGAGCAAGAGGAATGTGTTGGGTGGGGTGATAAAAGAGCTCCTGCTTCTTGGCGTGGCCTCCCCATTCCCACGGTTCTGCCCTTTCCACGCCTCCCCCTCCTGGTCGCTTGCTGAGGAATGGCACCCAGCGGCTTCTGTAGTTACCTTGATCTCCCGGCCAGCATTGTGGCTGCGTTCTCTTTGTCGAAAGGTGCTGCTAGCGGAAAACAAACAAATAAAACTGGAACAATGTTTTGACTCTCCTGCTGGGGTTTGCAGTCATGTCCCATGTAACTCTGCGCTCACGTCTCCGAAACCACCTTTATGTAACTGCCCTTTGCATTTAAAGAAGAAAAAGGCATCGGCACCTCATGGCCAATGTCATGTTCTCAGACTTTCCATTTACCTGAAAAGACACAATGCAGGGAATATTTCTGAATTTTGCTGATGCCCTGAACACCTTAGGCAGCAACCAGTTTTACAGAATCACAACATTATTTGGAAAGGCTTGCAAAGAAGCAAAATCTGGGCCGGGGGGGGGGAGGTATGACTTGGAAGTAATAATCTGAGAACTGCCAAGCTGGAAGGGACCCCGTGGGTCATCCAGTCCAGCCCCTGACAAGGAGGCCCTGTGGGGAATCGAACCCCCAACCTCAGGCTCCTGCAGATAGATATTTAAACCACTGAGGTGTCCAGCACTGATAAACCTGCCCCAAATGTTTCCATTTACTCTTAGACATACTGTATGTACATTAAAAAAATAATTCTTGCAAACATGGCTTTCGCCACGGTCCTGGGCTCTGAATATATGCTGCCTCTGGTAAATCTTGAGATGACTTCTCTTTGGATAGTTGGAAGGGTTTATTTCTCTAAGCAAATATTTCCATTTACTCTTAGACATACTGTATGTACATTAAAAAAATAATTCTTGCAAACATGGCTTTCGCCACGGTCCTGGGCTCTGAATATATGCTGCCTCTGGTAAATCTTGAGATGACTTCTCTTTGGCTAGTTGGAAGGGTTTATTTCTCTCTTTGGGGAATTGCCAGGTTTCCAAGGAAGAAATGATGACCTTGTGGACCCCTTTTAAGTCCTTTCCGAAATGTGTTTCCGGTGCAGACGGTCAGCCACCTCCTCGGCCTTTCTAAGAGCTCGGATGGTGATGAATATAGAGCCAGATTCACATCAAGGCTTTCTCCCTTTTCTTCCAGATTCCTCTCAAGATGTCTACTGTACATGAAATTTTATCGAAGCTCACCCTCGAGGGAGACGTAAGTATTCCCCCTTCATTCCTCTCAAGCTTGGACAAGTTGCTTTCATAGAATTGTTGAGTCGGAAGGGGGCCTCTAAGGCCATCGAGCGCAACCCCCTGCTCAAGGCAGGAACCCGATTCAAAGCGGATCTGACGGAACCCCTGCTCAAGGCAGGAACCCGATTCAATGCGGATCTGACGGAAGGCTTTAGAGGACCACAACTGGCAAAAGTCCCCCCACCACCACCGCCATGGACCATACTGGCTGGGGGATTAGGGGAGTTGTAGTCCAACTGAACAGCATGGCTCAACTCTGTCCTGCTTCCTGAAGCTTCAGATATATCTCTGTTTGAAGCCTCAATGCTGCTCGAAGGCAGAATGGCTCATTCTTTGGCCAACTGAGTGGCCCTTCATTCGGGCCCAGGCGGCGCTCCTGAGCTCCTGAGCTCCTGCTTATTCCCAAGACTGGAAAGGCTTCTGTGGCATGAGCTGTTCATTCGGGCCCAGGCGGCGCTCCTGAGCCCTGCCTTCCTTCCCCCTCTGCACCTTCACTGCTGCAGGAATGTGCTTATTCCCAAGACTAGAAAGGCTTCTGTGGCATGAGCTTGTCCGAAGTGTAACTGGGAAGTGAAGCACAACGGCCTGCCAAGTCATGATGTACTTACCTGTCGCGATGATAAACATTCCCGTTAAAGAAATTCATAAATTGCTAAAGAAATTGATACGGCTTCTTGAATGAATTCATATTATTTCTTCAATAAATTTTAAAGAAATTTGTAATTTTTTTAAAGTGTTGCACGTTATGTTTCAACTTTAAAAACCCACAATTTGCAAGGCAGGCCTTTGATATGTTGTTCCTGTTCAGTCGGATTCTAAAGTAGAAACGTAGTACAATTTTGCATAAACCAACCGGAGGGCCGTTTCTTATCCTGCCAGAGTAGCTCCAGTTCCTCTAATGTAGAACTCTGTAAAGATGTACAGTGGCTTAAATCTGTTCTCTCTACCCCCCCCTTTTGCTCACCCCTAGCGCGCTATCCCTCCCAGTGCTTACGCCACAGTCAAGGCGTACGGGAATTTTGACGCCGATCGAGATGCTGCAGCCCTCGAAACCGCCATCAAGACTAAAGGTACAGTAGTGGAAGAAACAAGTTGTTTGTTTGCTTGTTTATGATATTTTTTTACCTCGCCTTTCTCCTCAAGAAGGACCCAAGGCAGCCTAGATCATTAAATGACAATACTTAAAGTTTAAAACTAAATATGCAAATATTTAAAAAGAATCAAACAAACATCACATTAAAAAGGATAAACAAAAGCAACACCAAACACATTCGGAGCAGTAAAGTGTAGCAGTATATTCAACAAACTCCACTCAGGCAGCCAGTCGCCGAGGAGAAGCTTGCCTCAAGAGAAAGTTTTTTTGCCTGACTGTGAAAGGAGAGCCAAGGTGAGGCCAGCCTGGCTCCCAGTGGGAGGGAGTTCCAGAGTCTCTGGGAGCACTTATGTCAGCCCAACTGTTTTCCCAGCTTGGCCCCCTTGGAAACAGGATGCTGGGCTCAATGGCTCTTTCTTTGATCCAGCAGGTCTCCCCACATGTTCTTGTTAGTTTAAATCACTACTGTTTCGTTCCTTCGATAAGGATTGGGAGTTTCAGAAAAAACACGAAACATCCGATCGGAGAGCAGAGCTCTCTGCAGGAAATGTTTCCCCAACCTTGAAGCTTGAAGATTTTCTCCCGAGGTTTGGGGAAAATGCAAAGGAGATTCACAAAGAATTTTGTCGGTGCTGTCAAGAGTCTTTCATTTTATGTGGTTTTCTTTCGTCCACTTTCTCTGTTCCTCTTTATGGGTTCTTGGTTGCCTTTTGCTGCCCAAGGCGAGCACCACAGATTTCCCCCCCCGCGTGCCTGCCCCCCCATCTTATAAATTCCTGCTAGGACTCTCTTGCTTGCCAGGAAATCATAAAAGCGTCAAGAAAGGCTGTTGCTCCCAAGGCTGGTTGGAGCGTTGCAGCAGCGGGGGAGCGAAGAAAAAAAAACTCGCAGCACCTTGGCGCTCCCGGCTTCCCACCAGGCCAGAGAGAAAAGGAGGAGGACTTGGAGCGTTCTTCCCTTGCTTCTCTGCAGCTCCACCCGGTCTTGGCTCCTGTGACTCAGCGGCGGGGCGGTTGGGCCCTTCTTTGTCTTCCCCTAAAGTGCCCCCCCTCCCACATCTGCCAGGAAAATGACAAAGCACCAAACGCCCTGTGTGTCCCTGTTCTCTCTCTCTCTCTTTCTTGCAATCTGAAAGGCCCTGTGTTCTTGGGTGCGGTTCATGATTTTTTTCCATCCAACCTCTCCTTCCCCCCTTCTTTCAGCTGTAGTTCTCTCTCTCTCTCTCTCTCTCTCATGCATCCACAGACCATCTGAATTTATAAACTTCCCAGTTTTAGAATTGCAGATTTTATGCAAATTGAACTCTGTGTATAAGCTAAGCCTGAGAACAAATTAAACAAAAAATGTTTGGGTAAGGAATAAGTAGAGTCCCCCCCCCTTTCACTCCATCAATAGGGTTCATTTCGGAGCTTGCAAAAAGCAACTTTTGAGTTCTGTTGCCCCAAGGATCTCGCAAATATGGATGCTTGATTGTGAGCGTGTTTGAGCTCACACACGACAGCAGGGGCACTAGTTCAGTGATGACGCCTCTTCTGTTCAATATGGCTCTCTCTGTCTGTCTGTCTCTCTCTCTCTCACACACACACACGCACACGCACACACACATGCACACACGCATGCATGCATGCCTCATGAGCAGGTAGCCTCTTCCCTGGATGCCTTTCGTTTGAAAATCAGTACTGTCATGAGCTCAGCAGATACAACTTCTGCTTCTTTGGATTTAACCTGTTTTTCCCCCCAGGGACTCAGGCATCTTTAATGCGGGGAGAGGGGAATTTGGACTACGAATCCAGAATCCCCCAGCTCCTTTCTGAGAGATTAGGGCTGAAGTTTGCTCATCAAGAGATCTGAAGACCAGTTTGGTTGAAGTCTCTCATTTTTTTTGCCCGGGCTCTGCTACCTTAGCCATTGTGGGTTACCCCCCTCGGTACTGCATGATTCATCTCCTGTAGACTGACTCATATTCTGCTATTTGTCTCTCATCCCACGAGCTTTCTGTGGTCATTCTAGGCCCCCAAGAGTGAAACCCAACTCCAGGAAATACCAGTTTATCCAAAAATGACTGGCCCAAGAGATTCAGAGGCCTGAGGCATTGCACGTTTAAAAGCATGCCAATTAGTACTAGAAAGGTCTGCTACAGAAAACCATTCGAAATGATTAGGAGCCGCACAAGATTCACGGTTGAACTTTTCTGCAGAGATCAGGACCTGGGGCATTTTTTTAAAAAAATTAATTTTTAGAAAAGCTTCTATTTCTCAAGAGTGGAAGCAAGACCGCTTTTAGGAAACGCAAGATGTCTGTACTCGTATTATGGCATCACTCTCTTTAACAGAGATTTTCCTAAGCAGGTTGCTGATTCTCTTTAGCTTAACATAATTTTCATCCTAGCCTATTCTGAACAGCACCCTGAAACTTCTCTTTGCTTTGCTGCCTGTATGATCGAGGAAGCTGGAAATTTCTGGAGAAGTTTTAAGACGGGTCGCCGTGCGGGTCAGTCCTAGGAGAGCCAGGCGACTTCAAGATTTAGCAGGTTTTTGTCTGGCCTAAATTGCCGTTGCCTGCACCCTGCTTCCTAAGTGCAACAGGTGAAGCAGGGTTTAGTCTAGAAAAGCTTCGGCTAAGTAAAACCCATTCACTTATAAGGCCCTTCATTGTTTCTACATGCCTGTAGAGTCAATGGACTGCAAGCTGGTGCTGTGCAGGAGGTTAATGGAAAAGAGGATGAAAAATCGTGAAAAGGACTTTAGGGGAAGCCAGGTCACCGTATTGGGTGGGCACGATTATGTTGCCTCCTCCCAGGTGTGTCTTTTTAGGGTCACCCAGAATGGTTACTATTTATGCCTCCATTTCTGGGGTGGTATCATGTTGCCACCATACAGATTGTGCCGTCACATGTCTTCAGACTTTTTAATTTTTGAATTGGTGGTGTAAATTTGAGGACTAGACCCCTGGCCTCTACCTAATTGGTGGTGTAAATTTGAGGACTAGACCCTTGGCCTCTAGCTAGATTGCTCAGTAGTTGAGGTCTCTGGCTGCGGAAGTTGCACGATGTTGGGAGTTCGATTCCCCCATTGTGTGCCTCCTGGCCAAAGAGCCAGCCTGGCTGACCTTGGGCCAAAGTTGCACAATGGTCTCGGGGCGCCCCCTAGAGGAAGGGAAGATGGTCAACCACTGCTGAGGACTCTAGCTGGAAGACTCTGAAAGGGATTGCCAGAAGTCCGAATTGACTTGATGGCCCATGCAGAGGATGATGATGATGATGTCCTCCAGAATTGTAGAAGGGGTGGAAAAGATCGCAAGCCAAGGAAAACTTAGGCAGGTGTTACTCACATCTGGGTGTGTGTTTTTGTTTCGAGGTTATCAGTTTTGAAAGCAGTTCCGGGAAAGTTTCCATCCTTGGCATGGCTGATGGAATAATTTGGACATGCGTCTGTGGAAAACAAAATACTTGTCGAGGCAAGCATCCGTTTTCCACGCCAGTTGAGAAACTGCTGAGGAAATGAGTTTCGTTGAACTCTGTCTGTCTGTCTATCTGTCTTTCTGTCTGTCTCTCTCTCTCACTCACACACACACACACACACAAACACACAGAGGCAGAGTTTCTTTGTTTGTTTTTAAAAACGGATCCTGCTGCCAAAGACACACACACACACACACACAAAAACGGATCCTGCTGCCAAATAATTCTGGTAGAGGAAAACCCCCACTAATTCTTCTTCCTTTTTCCCTGGGGTCAGCTTGCCCCAGGTTAATAAAATGGGGAGGACTCTCCCCCAGGATCCCTGCTTTCCACCCACCTCTTATCAGCCCATGTATCTTGGCAGTCGGTGGTGCCAGTAAATAATTTAGAGACAATATACCCAGAGAATAATTCCTGCAAGTATGACTTCACCTCTCAGAGAGGCAACTGATAAATGAGCATTGTTTGCAGAGCTGTGAGAAGCACAGGTCCTCTACTGAGATGTTTTTTTAAAGCCGCTTTAGATTTCCAGGAAGAATCGAGCCATGGATTCAGTTTGCAGTCGGAAGGAGGGAAAGGGCTGATGGCGGTGGGGGCAGGCGAGGTCTCCTGTGCAACCCTGACTTCAAAACCTTGGGTGTACGCGCTTGTGCTTCCTTGTGGAACCCTGAAGCCACTTTTACTGGGAATGCTGGTGGCCAATGCTGGCCAGGGGATTCTGGGAGTCGTAATCCTAAAAGTCGCTTTTCCAGGCTGCAGTAATTGGTGGTGTTTTACTTCTGGGAGATGGAAGGATGTGGCCACCTGGCTTGGAAAATGCCAATGGGATGTGGATCCGTGTTTTTGGAAGACCTGCGCCAGCAGAGAGGCAAATGCCGGAGGCCACGGGTTGACATTGCGCGCTCTCTCCCTCCCTCCCTGCAGGTGTGGACGAGGTGACCATCGTCAACATTTTGACAAACCGCAACAGTGAGCAGCGGCAGGACATCGCCTTTGCCTACCAGAGGAGGACTAAGAAGGTATGGCCAGAGGTTTAGAGCTGTTTTCCTCCCCCAGCCGGCTTCCCCTTCCCCAGTGGCATCCCCTCGGCCCCAACTTGCTCAGCCCATGGCTGTCGGTAGGGATGCAAAGACTTCCACCGTTGGAAGGCTCCTGAATTGTCTCCCTCGGCTTGTCTTCTCTCCAGGAACTGGCTGCCGCTCTGAAATCCGCTCTGTCTGGCCACCTCGAGACCGTCATCCTGGGCCTCTTGAAGACACCGGCTCAGTACGATGCTTCGGAGCTGAAGGCGTCCATGAAGGTAAGCCGGTGGAGTGGCCAGGATGGTGCATCTAGTTCTGTGCCCGATCCCATCGCTCGGACAGTTTTCTGCCGTGTTTCCAGCTTATGATTCATCTCAGTTACAACTTGCAGTCCTGACCACAGTGTGTTCCTCAGACTCAGGACAGAAGGAGAAAGTTTAGGGTTCCTGTTCATAAATTTTATTTGTCTTCCCTAGTGGTCCCCAGTCTTGGGTTTCCAGATGTTCTTGGACTAACACTCCCAGAAGCCTTCATCGGCCAGGATTTGTGGGAGTTGTAGTCTAAGCACAACTGGGGACTCAAAGTTGAGAACTACTGCCTTACACCATGCTGGCTTTCTCTCTCTACCAAGGGTGGAATGCCATTTTTCCCAAGGCTGATTTATTTTTCTTTATGCAATGCTGCCCTCTGCTGTTTCTGTTCAGTAGTCTTTCTCTCTCTGTAAGTTATTCTTGCAGGAGCAGGTGATACCTTTATTAGACTCCTTTAAAAAAAAATCAAGCAAGCAACAGACAGCTAGCTTCTGACGATAATTCATCTTCTCAAGGCTTTGCGCCAACTTCTTCTGGTTAGTTCAGAAAATTGCATGCTTTTATTAAAGTCCCAAACTTTCATGGCTGTTGTTGGGGTCCTGTGAGATTCGTTAGATGGGTACAGATGCCGTCTGCAAATGGCTTGGGGGGGGGGGGGTGGGGCTTCAAACTCCTTGCTTTCGACAAAAGGCGGCCAAGCTCTCTGCATCACCCTCGTCTCCCCCTTTGCCTTCTTCCTGAAATTCAAAGAAATTCCTATTTGGCTAGGGAAAGCGAGGCAATGCAGAGGCCGGGCGAGCCTCCATCAGAGTTGGGATTAAAGGATATTTTTGGTGCTTAATACTTTTCCTGGAAAACATGCTTTCTGTCCTGGTGAAGCCCAGACTTGTTCTGGATTTTCCAGAAGTGAAGAATCTTCCCTCCAAAGCTCACAAAAATCCAAGGTGAAAACAAGAGTTATAGAGGATTCCTATTTCAAAAAGGAAAACAAAGGCATGTAGTACAAAAACTGTTGACTTTTGTCTGCTGCCAGACGGGGGCAACCCCTTCTCCTTTTGACAAGGGGGGGGGAATGAATTATAGCCCTTTTGGGATTCCCAGTCTGGATCAGTGGGAGAAGCACAACTGTGGCCTTCTCTTAGGCTTTGGGAGAGGGGTCAAAGAAAGTCCAAAATCTCGGAAATCAAAATGCCCTTATTTGTGAAGATGGCCAATTGGAATCTGGTCCACCTTTGTGGTCAACACCTGGCCCTACATTTGACTCTGTTTCCTCTGGGCCACCAAGCCCAGAACTTTGGCCGCTCTGCATGGTAGCCTGGAGTAAAGGGTCCAAGCCCCACTGTCTTCCAGCAGCCATGCTCCAACCAGTGTCTTAAAATGAACACCATCGTCCCCAGCTTTTTGGCCTCAATGGTCAGGGATTTGGAGAGAGCACGCTTCCCAAACTCAGCTCGAAACCTTGCTGAACAGTTTGTAAGCTGTTTCAGACCTTTCACACCTTTTTTGCATGGCTGGAGGGGATGGTAGGAACAGTTCTGCCCCATGTGCAGGATATGCAAGAAAGCAGGGTGAGGAATTCTGGAAAGGTCTTGCAAGCCTCAGGACTGAGTTGCAGACGGCGGCCACGTTGTCGCTGGGAAGCAGGAACCAAGTAGAGCAGAAAAGGTGAGCTAGGAAAAGCTGGAAGCCCCCTCCTTGTCTCGTCAGATTATGGGTAGCCAAGAACACCCAATGAGTGTGAGAACTGCACAAGGATTTCAATTCCTGTTTTTTCCCCCCTGTTGAAGGTGATTGTCCACTCAGGGGTCAGGCAATCACAGTGTTTCTCATGCAAGCCAGAGATTCTCCCCTTGGACAGAGCAGGGATTTATTCACGTGGACAAGGTTGCCAATGACACCTAGAGAAAGCTCATTGGAAAGTCTGGCTGTTTGCACAGCTGGCTGTTGCACAGGTAGAGCGGGTGGTGCAGACAGGTGCCACAGACTTGAGCCTTCTCACTGCCACCCTAACCTATACCAGCTTCTCCTGCTGAGGTGGAGTGAAAAGCAGAGGCTAGCCCTGACTCTAAGCGAGGGAGGCCATCCAGCATCTCATCACGCCATGCAAAACTCGTTCTCTACAGAAGTTTCCCCTAGTATGACACTCTTCTGATGTTCATGTCTTATCACACAGGCTGGCCATGCTGCTTGGGAATGATAGGAGTTGTAGTTCGAAACTTCCAAAAAGGACCAGGAATGAGAGAAGGACATCTGTTAGTTTCTCTTTCTCCTGCGTTGGAATTTTGTAAATTTGAATTTTTTTCCCCCATCCTGCATGGAATTAAATTTTCAAATGTTCGCAGACGCTTGCAAAACAAGCTGGAAATTAAATCCTTCCTTTTATGGTTAACATGGGCTAAATCCCATAGCTACAGCTGTTCTTAGCACGAGGAAGACCACATTTTTTCTGCCTCCCTGTAGCTGTGCTACGGTTGAGGAGCTTTGGATTAGGAAGGAAAAAAAAATGTGCAGGTGGAAACCCTAAATCAGGGCTAAGGTGGTTGAATGCCCAGGAGTTTGAGCCCATACTTTTAAGAGTTAAGCAATTAAAGACTTCAGTATCCACGGATCAATGCATGGGTTTCAGGATCTCTCACATTTCCCCCCCCCCAAAATCCCACTGTGAAGAAATTTGCAATTTTTTCCAAATTCTTGCCCCCTAGACAGTGCCCCTCTCTTGCTGCAGCTTCGAGGGCAGCACTTTCTCAGAAAACATCTTGATGAACCTTTTTCTGGCTTTCACGGTGAGGTTTTCTTGGCACGGGAACCCCGCGTTGAGCCTCGCATTCCAGTCGGAATTAATTTGCAACAGGTTGGGGGGTGGGCGTGCTTGCCTGCAGCGCAGATGGTGCCGGGTGCCCTTCCTTGACAGCGAGGCCTCTGCCATTCCGACACCAGGAAGCACGCGGCGCAGCATCAAGGCGGAAAAGGCCATTTTTCCCCCTTTTCTTTTCATGACTGCACAGGTCCCTAGAGTTGCATTCTTAAGGCGAAAACACAAAAAGGAGTAGAGTTCCTTCGTTGAAGCCATTTCATTAATCAATTATATATCTAATTTTAAAGCCAAAGGTAGTATTCTTCAGCGTCTTCTTCTTTTTCAAAGAGAGAGGGAGAGAGAGAGACCCATAAAATAAGTTGTGTTAATTATGTTCTTTTCCTAAAAGTATTCTACTTTCCTGGCAGCTAAAGCGGCTTTGTACGTGATTCCGGGTGGAACGAAAAATCGGAACAAAATTAATCCATTTTGCCACCCTTGGGCGAACGCGGCTTTTGATTGAACTGGGCCTGGGCGGGGGAGGGGGGGGAAGTTCGTCTGAGTTCCCAAAGAGTTTAATTAACACCTGACACCTTTTCATGTGGATTAGTAATTTTCTTATTGTATTAACAGCTTCATAATTGATTTACACTTTAGACCCAGTTAATTCAACTTTTAGTTCAAAGCTGTACTTCTGTACTCGGGTTTTATATGTTTCCCCCGCGCGAGGAAGCGGGACGATAGAGGAACCTGCTGATTAAATCTTGACTTTGATCATTAACAAAAAACAGGCTTTGAAATACATATTTTATCATATAGGCCCCCTTGAACTCATCCAACGTGTTTCAGAATGTATAAAATTTGAATACTGGTCTGCCGTGGAAAATACATTTTTGTTCTTCAGTATTAGCAAAGGATAATGAACGGGGTATCTCGGCCTATTTTTAAAGGGCAACACCGTATTGATTCCTTCCTTTTTGTAAAAACACCTTTTCGGCGTCGTATGTGCATTACACTCACGACAGAAGGGAAAACAGGAGATGTTCCTTTTAGCCGATCTTTCCCGAGAGGCGGCTTTAAAACAGAGCTTGGCATTTGTGCTCTTGGTCCTACGACCTCTTGCACTGCTCTAAAAAAAACGGTTTTCCATCCCAGAATTCATCACTTAGAAAGTTACTTTTTGAAAAGTAATTCATTAATGAACTCACTACAAACTCCCTTTGGCGAATTAATTCCATTCGCACTATGAAAATAAATACAGCAGATGATTGCAATGCCTCCTCCTTTGTTTATTGCTTTGCCATTCATTTTTTAGATATTCATCTGAAATATAAGAAAGTAGCCGACTGTCTGGATCCTTTTTTTTTGTTCTCAAAAAATACTGAGAAAAGGCAAGGAGTAAACATAAGTACTTGTTTCACACAAAAAGAAGCAATGTTATGATCAGGATGTTATTTGCAAAAAGAACTCATTACAGTTATTTTTTTTGTTTGTGTTTCGTGGATGCTTTGCTAAAATCTGTGATGTAGCATTTGTTTTTCATTGTCAGCGCTTTTTAAAAGTGTCAGCCCCTTTACACCTCAGTGGTGTTTCCCTATTTTTATATATATAATGGCTTTCCTGGATCTCAGAAGTATAATTAGCGCAAACGGTGATGCCCATGACAGTCCTATGTAGTGCATTTAACCCCATCAGACCTTCATGCCTCCACACCATCACGTGAATCATCGGTGGCGAAAAAAGAAGACAGAAGCTTTTTGTTTTAAATTTGCCTTGCATCCTGTTTTGGGTGCAGTGCAAGAGCATGTGACTCTTCCATATCAATACACGGATTTCACTTTTGCCTTCCAGGGTCTGGGAACGGATGAAGACACGCTGATCGAGGTCATCTGCTCGCGGTCAAACCAGGAGCTTCGTGAAATCAACAGAGTCTACAGGGAAAGTGAGTTGAGCGTGCGGGATGCAATTTACGTGCTTGAGCTGTTCTGAAAGCAAAGGAACCAACCTTGGGTCTAAAACGCCAGGTGGCTTCCCTACAAATCCTTTACTCTCTTTCTACACCCTCCCCCTTTTTTTTAGTGTACAAAACTGACCTGGAAAAAGACATCATCTCAGACACCTCCGGCGATTTCCGCAAGCTGATGGTTGCCTTGGCCAAGGTAGGGGCTTCTCCTGGGCTCGGTGGCTGTTTTTCACCCATTGCTTGTTTCAACTTACTCTCCTGGGGGAATCTCCTCAAGTTAAGCCTCTGTGGCATCTCTTTGAAAGGGACGTCCACAACACCGGAAACGCTCTTACTGACTAGCACGTGGTGCCCTTGTCCAAATCCACTTCCCCCTCAGGTGGTCTTGTGGCCATACTGGACTACAATGCCCCCCTGGGCATGCTGGGGGTGGGGGGGGACATGTAGTTTGGAGTACCTTGAAGGCAGGCCAACCTCTGAAGGCCATGTAATGACAAAACCAGCCATTTAGAAGCCCAGGGGGAAAACACAGTAGAAGATGGCATGATGTACCCCATACTGACTGGGGATTCTGGATGTTGTAGTTCAAAACAGTAATTTTGGCATACTCTGCATGATCTTGCAGACCGCAAGTTGGATCAATGATTAAAACGAGGGGGGGGGGAGGAGGTCAATGCAAATTTATTTTGTACCTCTGCATATAAGGAAGCTGAGTGTACTGTGAGGCTGAACCTGTTCCTCAGTCCATGGGCAGCACAGAAGGAAGCGTGATTAATATTCTGATTTATCTAGGTGGGAAAGTATTTGATGGTCTTGCTTGAACTGGGTGTTGACTTGTTGTTTCTCTGCTGGTTTTTTAAAGGGAAGGAGGAACGAGGATGCTTCTGTGGTGGATTATGAGCTGATCGACCAAGACGCCAAGGTGAGCGGTGCTGAATGCCGGTTATGGGCTTCTGACTGAACAGCTGGCCTCTCAGGGCCAAGCTGGATGGGACAGTTATCACGTCACTGGAAGCCGGAGTTCCTGAGTCGCCGAAACACATCTGCTTGTCACAGCATGAGTGTGACCCGTTTCCTGTATCTTAGAAACTGGTTTGCTCTTAAGGTTTTCGGCATGGAATGCTGCCCTGAGGGTGGTGGCGGCACTGGTGTATTATGTAATTGTGTTTTATTGTAGTGTTAGGTTTATGTTGTTTAGGTCGGATGTTTGTTTAATACATTTATTTTTAAAAGTGGGGGGGGGAAGAAAAGAAGAAGAAATCGGTTTGCTTTGTTTTGTGGTTAGCTTTCTGGAGGTCAATGCAGGGTTGTTGTTTTTTGGCAAGAATGAATGCTCAGGCTTGTCTCTCTCCTGGAATCGTGCCTGTGACAGACTAATATGGTTTGTGCTCACAAAGATGTGCTACCTGTAATAGGTCGTTTGAGCCGAAGAAAAGAAAAGTGTTTCTTGAAATGCTGTATTTTCCCATTTTAATGCAATCCCCATTTTGGCACTCGCTGTGCGCTGTGTGTGTGTGTTTAGCAGGAGGGTTAATTTTTGTGCTGTTTTTGCCGCGGTTGTTGGCTGAGGTCTAGGTGGGAAAGTATTTGATGGTCTTGCTTGAACTAGGTGTTGACTTGTTGTTTCTCTGCTGGTTTTTTAAAGGGAAGGAGGAACGAGGATGCTTCTGTGGTGGATTATGAGCTGATCGACCAAGATGCCAAGGTGAGCGGCGCTGAATGCCGGTTATGGGCTTCTGACTGAACAGCTGGCCTCTCAGGGCCAAGCTGGATGGGACTGTTATCACGTCACTGGAAGCCGGACTTCCTGAGTCACCGAAACACATCTGCTTGTCACAGCATGAATGTGACCTGTTTCCTGTATCTTAGAAACTGGTTTGCTCTTAAGGTTTTCGGCATGGAATGCTGGCCCTGAGGGTGATGGTGTCACTGGTGTATTATGTAATTGTGTTTTATTGTGGTGTTAGGTTTATGTTGTTTAGGTCGGATGTTTGTTTAATACATTTATTTTAAAAAGGGGGGGAGAAAAAAGAAGAAGAAATGGGTTTGCTCTGTTTTATGGTTGGCTTTCTGGAGGTCCATGCAGGGTTTGTTGGCAAGGATGAAGGCTCAGGCCTCTCTCGCTCTCCTGGAATCCTGCCTGTGACAGACTAATATGGTTTCTGCTCACAAGGATGTGCTACCTGTAATGGGTCGTTTGAGCTGAAGAAAAGAAATGTGTTTCTTGAAATGCTGTATTTGCCCATTTTAATGCATCTCCCATTTCGGCACTCGCTGTGCGCTGTGTTTGTGCATTTAGCAGGAGAGTTGATTTTTCTGCTGTTTTTGCCGCCGTTGTTTGTTGACACCCTCTGTGCTCGTTCCTCCCCCTCAGGACCTGTACGATGCTGGCGTCAAAAGGAAAGGGACCGATGTTCCCAAGTGGATCAACATCATGACGGAGAGGAGCGTCCCCCACCTTCAGAAAGGTAGCGGGGAACTTTTCCAGACCCTTTGGGGAACCCTGTCAGGGTGGGAGGGTCTGAGAACGCAGTCCGAAGTCCTGTGACATCCTTCTCAGTCCCCTGACGCCCTCCCCTCCCAGCCAGGATGAGGACCGCGGGCAGGTGGTGGGGATGACCGATGGGGCCCTGGCTGGGTTGTCTTTATTATTTCATCTGAGGCACGGAACGGGCCATCAGCCACAAAAGCGTATGCCAAACGAAGCTTTGCTGGTACAAGACTCTCGCTGCAATGGACTAGCGTGTCTGTGGCTCCTGGAAATGTGGTGGTGGCTTGTGGTCGGGGGATTCCGGGAGCAAGGGTCTAGCAAAGGGTTGGGGCCCAGACACTTGTGCCAAAGGGAACTTGCACGTCTTTAAGTTGCCACAAGTGTCCTTGTTGACTATCCTGCTGGAGATCTACTTAATTTCTGCTTAGGCTTAATTTTTCTCCTGTCTTTTTCTTTCCGCCTCCTCGCCTGGTTAGTCTTCGAGAGGTACAAGAGCTACAGCCCTTACGATATGCTGGAGAGCATCAAGAAGGAAGTGAAAGGGGACCTGGAAAATGCTTTCCTGAATCTTGGTAAGGAAGTGGATAGTGATCATCCTTAAATGTTGTCCTTTCCAACTTAGGGTGACCTAGGTGTAAAGTGTACTCAGAAGGGGTTGTTCCTCCTGGTGGCACCAGGGGAGTGCGCAGCTTGCCCGAGGCCACACAAGTGGCAGGGCGTCAGCCACACAGATGCTGGGTCATCTTGTTCCCAGGGCCGTCTCCTGGGAGGCATAGGGGGGATTCGAACTCCTGACGCCTGGCTCTCCTACCCACTGAGCTATGCCAGCAGAGAATGTTTAGAGGCAGAAAATAGTGGACTATCCAGTTGCTCATTGTGTAGAAGAAGGTGCTGTAGAAACATATCTACAAGCTGCATTTCTCCACTATCAAAAGATTTCCGAATTAGATTGCATGGTGCTTCAGATGTGGATGGAGGATGCTTTTCAGAGAAGGGGAAGGAGTTTAATCAGGAGCAAGAGTGGTTAAATCATTTGCTAGAAAGCCAGGGCAGTTTGGGGGACCTTTCTTGCTCCAGCAAGTGAATGAGATAATCATGAGGCTTTCGAGTTTAATGATCGTTTCTTTCCCCGGGAGCTCAAGCACTGAGGATTGCTTATTAAAATGTCTTGATATGGTCATTCATAGGTAGCTCATCCATTACTGATATTCCAGAACTCCTGCTGGAATTCAGGGAGACACAATATTGGAATGTCGGAGCAGTTCCAGAGCAGAACCAAAGAGCATCCAAGCCATGCCTAATTCTGAGATCCAGATCAGAGATAAATGTTTTGTTCTCCCCCTGTGTTGTATTTAGCCCCGTCGCGCTACAGCCCTTGCCTTCTGCCGTGTGCTTCCAAGCATGTCCACCTCGCTCCTTCCTTTTCTTGCAACGTGTCTTTACTCTCGTGTCGATTCTCTTTCCTCCACAGTTCAGTGCATCCAGAACAAGCAGCTGTACTTTGCTGACCGGCTGTACGACTCCATGAAGGTAAGAGTATCCGGAAGCAATTTGGGTTGTGATTCACAGGGAAGGTCTCCTGCTTGTGTTGCCCTGGAATGAACGGGAGCTGTTGAGATTTCCTCCATACAACAATCACTTCTGTTTCCTAGTCCTCTTAACAGGGCTTTTGAGCCTCTGGAATCTGTGGTTCTGTCTTGCACCCGGGAGGCTTCTGGGTATTTTTCACCCATTGGGTGCCTCGCATAGCGAGGTTAATGCGTTCCGGATTAACCTTCGCTATAGCGAAACATCGCTGAACGGGACAGGGAAAGCCATTGGAACGCATTAAACATCATTTAATGCGTTCCAAAAGGCTCCTTTACTCACTGTCCAGCGAAGTTTCCTATGGCTGGCAGCCATTTTCACACCCTCGTTAAGCGAGGGGAGGGCGCGAAAACGCTGCGAGCGGCCATTTTGGGGCTTCTGGCGGCCATTTTGTCCGCCGAACAGCTGATCGTCAGAAACGCTTACCGTTTCGCAAAGCGAATTTCACCCTATCTAAAGCTCGTTGAGCGATCACATTAGCGATCCCAAAAAAGGGATCGCTATGCGATTTCGTCGTTGTACAGTGCGCTCGTTAAGCGAGGCACCACTGTATATATATGTACAGTATATGGACATTTTCAAATATTACAAATGGTGAAAAAACTATTGCAGGGCAAAGGAACCCGGGACAAGGTCTTGATCAGGATTATGGTCTCCCGCTGTGAGGTTGATATGCTGAAAATTAAGAGTGAATTCAAGAGGAAATATGGGAAGTCTCTCTACTACTTTATCCAGGTGAGTTCACTCTTAGTAAAGCCCGCCCTTCTCTGTTGGGTTTCCTCTCTTACCTGACTTCCTCTCCCTAACCCTCAACCCCTTTTGTCTCCCTGCAGCAAGACACCAAGGGGGATTATCAGAGGGCGCTCCTGAACCTGTGCGGAGGCGAAGAATGAAATATCGAAGGAGGAGGAAAGAGACATTCCAGAAAGGAGCTTCCCTCGACCCCCCCACCCCTTTTACCCCCAGCTTTCTGCGCCTCTCGTTTGCAGAATTAGTTCCTCTGGCACAGTAGCCTCGCTAAATCAATTCCTGTAGGCTGTCTACGCCAGACTGATACTCTCGGCCGCTTTTCTATAGTTCTCTTTCGTGGCTCAGCTGTTGCTTGGCTCCCTGCACCCCCCAAGTAGCTAATCTCAGCAGAAGTTACAAAGCTGAAGAAGTTACATTCCAAAGAGAGAGACAGAGAGAGAGAGACAGAGACAGAGACAGACAGACAGAGACAGAGAGAGGAAGGGAGGCAGGCATACCTGCGTGATGACATTCTGCCTCGGTGTTATGTTCCTGTCAAAAATACAAATAAAATGGAATTTTTACTTTAAGAGAATGCATTTTGTTCTGGTGTGCTTTTTGGCCAAGCCTCTGCTTTTCCGTGCAACAGCAAATGGCGTTCTTGGACTCCTTTATATACAGTCTCTCCCCCCCCCCCTTTGATGGTACTTCCAGAAAATCTTCCATCCAGCAGAGCAATGTCCCCTCTCCTTTGCTAGAAACAAGGAACGTCTTGATTGATAAGGCAAAATGTTTTAAAATACAGTAGATCTTATAAAAAAAAGATCTATTTTAAAATGCTATGCCTTATCCATCAAGACATTTGAACTTTGAAAGCAAAAGAGGGGAAGTTGAGGAAAAGGAAATCTGAGTGACTGTGAAATGTTTTGGCTGTCCAGCATCATGCCCTATTACACCCTCTATTTTATTCTCACGATGACCCTGCAAGGTAGACCAGGCTGAGAGAGAAAGAGAGGGAGAGGCCCATTATGGTGGAAGGAGAAGGTGCAGTTGGGTCTTGCTAGGCCAATGCTCAAAGCACTATGCCAAACATAAAGGTTAATCCCCTTATAATGAATGCAGAAATATCCTGTCTAGCCACAGTGCATTTGCAGACATGGGCAGAACCGTAGTGTAAGATCAGAGGTGCCAAAGAAGAAAAGAGGGGTGCAGAAACTGCAGCCGTCCACGAGAGGGCACTCAAAGGAAGTCTTATAATTCTTTTCCTTTTTTTAAGGAGCTGAATTTTTTTTCCCCTAGGTTCTCAACAAACATTTACCTTTCCTTCCTCTGGACTAACCCTTGACTTCAAAACAAAATGGCATATATATATATAATGTTGCACACACGTTTTGTCGCCAAAGTTCACCTGGAACCTGCTGCCAGTAGGGTTCAACCCTCAACCAAGACGTGAGGTTTTGCTTGCAAAAAAGAGAGATTTCATAAAGATCCTTCTAGCAGCAAGCAAGTTGGAGCAATCCAGAGAAAGAAAGCTATTTTCCCCCCCTTCTACCTCTGCCTGCACTATTGGAGGAACAGGGCTAGTCTACAGATTCCTTCCCCCCCCGCCGCCCTACTGTTAACATGGGGCCCGATCCACCAGGACAGTCCTGACTTCCAGGACAAACCCTGCCCAGTGAACGGGACTCTTCCGTTCATCAAAATCTGTGTAGAGGAATATCCTAGTAGATAAGGGTCCATGGCCCAGAACTCTTGCCTCAACCATCTTTAAGTTAAAAGACACCCAACATCTGTTTTAAGGTTGACAAGGTGTTTTTTTAAATCCTCCAGAAAATGGGATTATTGCCCCCCCTCCCAGAAAATCACAAAACACCCGTCTTTCTAGCTCTGTTATCTGTGGAAGTGCTGAATCAGACTGATGGTCTTTTGAGCTAAATAGGGTCAACACCGAGGGGCAGTCGTTGCTTTCTGGGGGTTTACCTGGGATTCCTTCTCAAGTCCTTACCTGCCTTTGCCTGGGACTGAACTTCAGTGTTTCTCTGTATGTAACAATGGCTACCTTCACTTTAGTGAACAGCCTCACCTTGCTTTCTGGAAAGGATGTGTGTTGTGTGTGTGTGTGTGAGAGAGACAGATTTTGGAAAGACGGCGACGGTAGTGGGTCAATCCAAATAGCTGCCATGTTGTGCAACCTCTCTTAAAAGTGGGTGGGGAGGAAGTGGTTTCTAAATGATTCTTTGCACTTTTTGTACAAGAAACAGCTCGCACGTTGTGACAACCACCACCAGAAAGTCTTAGAATAAATACAGCGCAAGGGCTTAATTGCAAACAGTTAAGTCCCTTCCCCCCCCTTCCCTTTGGCTTTTCTGGAATATTTCTTTTCTGGTTGGGGAAGAATTAGAGTAATTTATGGAGCCAGGGCTTCCTCAAACGGCATGGCAAAAGGAAAGATTTTTCCAATTACTCCGGGCCTTCGAGTTTCCTTTCTTCCTTTCCATGATGACTTGTTTACACTCTGGGAGCACTTCTAAATTTTTAATAGAGAGCGAGGAGTCGTTTAATTAGGTTGAGTGACTTGTTTATGTCCAGGTGCTGTGTTCGTGGCATCGTGAAACGGAGGAACGGTTCAACCCCCACCAAAGGTGCGGCTGCCTCCGTGTTCTGCCTTTCCTATAATTGCATCGAAGGCTGGCGGAAAAGTCATCTTTGACTGTGGAAAGTCGCTTGGGGGTGGGGGACGCAAGCTAACAAGCAAGCAGGCTGGCCAGCAGGAGCTGGGGAGAACAAGGCCCACGGCAGGGATGAGGTTAAGTCAAGGATTGGCTGCCCCGTCCATGGGCTCCGTCACCTTTCTCTAAGTTTAAACAGTCTTGTTTGTGGCCTGTGAGCTACAACACCTGCTGAAATGGATGGCATGTACAGGTGGCCTTAGATGCACCTGGATCACAGCGCTTTACCCGGGAAGTACGAGGGAAAGGGGCAAACTTTAAACCCACCACAAAGACTTCCTAGCAAGAACTTGTCCTCTTAACTCATAGTCATTAAGGCTAATGGTGAACTCCCACTGTATTCAATGAGGCCAGAGCCGATGGATCACTTTTCCTAAGTCATGCCCACAGATGTCCTTTGGGTTCCCTCCCGCTTCAATATATATTTCCTTCAATGCATGATTTTTCTTTAGATGTATATCATCTATTGCGAAGCAACCAACATGAAATTGACACAACTCCGGGAGGCAGTGGAAGACAGGAGGGCCTGGTGTGCTCTGGTCCATGGGGTCACGAAGAGTCGGACACGACTAAACGATGATGATATCATCTATTAGACCAGTGACGACAGCCAAGGGGGGGTTGCAAATTATTTTCTGGGGGAGTCGCAGGTCTCTTTATAGGCGTTGCGAAACCAGTTCTTCCTTGACCTTTTGGAGAAGGATATTAACATTAGCATGTATGGTCTGTGTATGTTTGAAAAACAGGCCTTTTGGGGGGGGGGGGGGGGAGAGAGAAAGAAGCCTCTACTTTCAGGTGAGAGATGATCGGGATGGATGGACGGACAGACGGAAGGAAGAATACAACTGCCCTTGCATCCGGACAAGGTCATCATGCCTACCTTTTTGAGCTTTAGTTTCATTTGCCTCTACATATCCCTGTGAGTGTGGATTTTTCTATACTACTTCATATCAAAACGAAGGCAGGACCTGGATGGATATAGAGAAGTGACATGAGGTTGGCTTTAACAAACACTCCGCTGTGAAATTTGAAGCTGGTTTGTTTGCCCAGGTCCAGTTACAACCATCACATTAAATATTAGGTTACAATCATATTCTGAAAATGTACTGTATGTTTATTGTCTTTATGTAAACGTGGTTGGAGGATTGCAGGTTGCTTGGCTATTATGAAAGTGGGTCTCGTCTTTAAAAAGGCTGGGAACCACTGTCGTAGCCGCCCCCCCCCCTTCAAAAGGTTTGTATGCAACTTATTGTTTTCCTGCAAGATCCTCAAAAATTGAACGATGGGATAGTCCCACAGGTTGGCAAAAAAAGGGTATCTCAAAAATACGAACCAACCTTCTCCATAAATAAGAAGGGTGGGTCAGTTTAACATTATATTTAGAATGCATTTTAAATATTCAGCCTCTTCTGCTCGATGGGCCTTAATATTTGAAAGCAAACAGACAGATGCAATTTTTCCACATGCACACACAAATTGCTAGGCCCAAAAATGCATTATTTCACAAGTAACTAAATTCTATATGGGATTCCTTTGCAATTTTTAAAAGGGGCCAGCGAAAACTGTCAGTACTAAGAGCATAATACCCTTTGGCTATTACTCAATAGGAAATGAAAAGGCAAAAAAACCCCTGTACATTAAATTAAAAGGATAATAACAGAAGCAGGCAATAATAATAGAACATGTTCCAGGCAGCTTATAGCTTTGACTGAAGCATCCATCTTATGAAACAGTATGTCCAGATTTACACCGGCACAGATATAGGGCATCATCTAGAAGTAAGTTCCATGCCAGTCCCTTTAAAATGAATATGGAGGCTGTACAGGAAACCCTGCTGGTCTCATAGAGTGTGAGCTGTTCCCGAGATAATCAAATGATATACCCTCCATCTCCTGCCCAAACACATTCCCTATAAGCTCACTTTCCATTCCATTATGGAAAAGCAAACAAGAAGCTCAACAGTCCAAAATGACACGTTTATGGGTATTTGATCATATATATTATGTCAAAAGATGTTGGGTGGCCCTGAATGAATGAATGCATTTTTTAAAGGCTTTGCTGCAGAGAATATTGTCGGAAGCACAGTTCTGACTGTGATGTATACGTACAGCCTGGTACGATTTATTCGTCCTGATGTGCGGTACATTCGCTGATTCTTGGCAGAGAATAGGATGAAATTTATAGAGGGAGAGGAGACTGTTATTCTTGGCAGCATGTTAAATATTGTATTCTGAAGGTAAAATATTTAGATAGGTCTGTTATGTGTGTGTGTGTTTTGTTTTGTTTTGTTTTGCATTAGAAATTTGGATTAATGTAAAGTGGTGCAAAAATTCCACGGCAATGCAAGTCCCTTTAGAGTGAATATTATGTGATACCAGGCACAGGCACATTTAGACCCAGACTGCATTTCAAAATCCTGCTTCACAAGACACTACTGCCAGTAATAAATCATATTTTTAAAAGATCATGTTTTGGTGGAACTACAGTATTGATTTCACTTGTGAAAATGCCAGATTTTACAGAGATTAGAAATTCTGTGTCATGTAGTGTTATCAGTTAGCTGAACCTTTTGCAGGCGTTTTCTGCAATGAAAATGATTCTTTAATGGTATCTAAAATGAAAGCTGCTTTAAGCCACAGTTTGTTGTAAGGAGTTGATAAAACACGAATACATCCATTTGGTAATGTGTGATAGGAAACACAAGGTTTTTTTAATTTCAAGAGGCATACGTCAGCCTTGGAATCATAAGAGTCTTCCGTTCATCTAGTGTGGGTGAAATATATCTTGTTTTAGAAGAAAAATAAAATTTAAATGGATTTTTTTTAAAATCAGGTACAACAGAAGGAGAATGGCACAAACAGGTGAA